TGATACTGTTAGCAACATGATACTTTTAGCAGCATGATACTGTTAGCAGCATGATACTGTTAGCAGCATGATACGTTTAGCAGCATGATACTGTTAGCAGCATGATACTTTTAGCAACATGATACTGTTAGTAGCATGATACTGTTAGCAGCATGATACTGTTAGCAGTGAGGTTTCTCTTAGCAACATGGTCCCGTTGGCCCCATGGTACTGTTAGCGGCGTTGTTCGGTTAGAGGCGTGGTGCTGTTAATAGCATGATACTGTTAGCAGCATGATACTGTTAGCAATGAGGTTTCTTTTAGCAACATGGTACAGTTAGCAGCATGATACTGTTAGCAATGAGGTTTCTCTTAGCAACATGGTCCCGTTGGCCCCACGGTATTATTAACGGCATGGTTCAGTTAGCGTGGTGTTGTTAGCAGCGTTAGCAGATCTTGTTAGCAGATCCCTTCAGCAGCATGATGGTAATAATGGCCGCAGCAGCTGCCCTCCCAGACAGCCCTCCAGAACTGGGTCCGGCAGACGGAGAACATCCAGGTTTCCCCATAGAACTGAACGGGTTCGTAGAGTTCGGTCGGTGAGCTGTTTTAAATACCAGCTTGTTTTTGTGTTCTGTACTCTAGACTGTCCTCATTATTTCATTGCCCACAGTCAACCATATTACACCCACCTCATTGTACTAGGTTTTCAATTAAATATTTTGGACCTGGCCATGTTTTACGTCAGAGGGGAGCTCCCAGGTGTCAAAATTCTGCTGTAGTGCTGTTGGGACATGTTTGAAGATGCCCATGACGATTGTGACTATTTTGAGATCAAATGTATTGCACAAATGGTCTGAACGGGTTCAAAATTCAAGTGAAAAATTGCAAACCTCTGCGACTCGTGAGGAAATTTGGAACGTCTGACAACGTTTCGAGACATTTTAGAGACTCCCTTGGGAATGTTGCTCGCCAAGCGGTCACCAGCGGTTGTAACGCAGTGAGATTCTGATGTAATCTGAGTGACAAGATTAAAGATGAAAGACTTTAAGTGGATTGCTGCTGTTTTAAAAAAAAACTTAAATCCAAAACATTTCATAGGGGTTCATGAAAACACTGTTTTACTTTGATGTCAGTTTTGCATTTACGCAGAATTTAATAGTTATTTGTAAGCAATGATAGTAGCAGCGGCACCTATTGCTATGGCTGTAGCACTTCCAATGTTCTTTCTACAAGAATGTGATCATATTTCAACTCAAATACTTGATGGATTTGCATAAGTTGTTGTGAAACCTCTGTCAAATTCAGAATAGAATTCAAAAGCTTACTTATATACAAAGCCCTCAACAACCTAGCTCCATCTTATATTACAGATCTTATTGTCCCATATTTTCCTAACAGAGCACTTCACTCTCAGACTGCAGGTTTACTTGTGGTTCCTAGAGTTTCCACAAGCAGAATGGGAGAAAGATCTTTCAGTTATCAGGCTCCTCTCTTGTGGAACCAACTTCCAGTTTCTGTCCATGAGGCTGACACATTGTCCAGTTTTAAGACTGGGCTTAATATTTTCCTTTTTGATAAATCCTATAGTTAGGGTTGGCTTGTTGCTATAGGC